ATCAATGAGAGATGCTGTCTTAAAAAACAAGGTAGATGACTCCTACAGAACATCACAGGAGGATGTCTTTTAGCTCTCTATATATGCACCTACTCTCATATACACACAGCTATGAAACATGTACATCAAGGAAAATTAACAACATGCAAAGTGCTAACATGCATTATACTAAAAAAAAATAACTTGTAGTTGATGTGGTATGACCTCATTCCTAACAGAGGTGATATCTGACTTGGGTCTTAAGAGAAAAGATGAAAGGCACACTTTCTAGGTAATCACAAGCACACAGAGATATACAGAAACATGTTGTAAGTCATACCATTCAAGACATTTTAAGTGGTCTAAGATATGGTGTCCTATCTTGGAAAGCTGAAGAGAATCAATTTAACAAATGTTTAACTAAAAAAAGGATAAGTAGAAGGGTTGCAGTTTATATCCATTCACCATTTCAAGCCTCTTTCTTGCCATGGGCATACTTAGAACTTCTATGAACATTGCAAAATAAAGGAAAAAGGTCCTAACTCCAAAGCCTACATCCTTATTCTGGTGTGGAGAGGTAGTACAAACAAAAAGAATTAATAACATAGTATTTATTTGCAGCTCACATACTATATATAGTACAACAGCTACCAATAAAGCAGAGACTCCAGGACAGCTATGTCAGCTAAGGTGGCTGCTAAGGTTACAGTAAACAAGGGTATGAAGAATATAAGGGAGGAAGTCATGAAGAAGTCTAGAATAGAACTCCAGACCAGGAGACTATAGTACCTAGGATGGAGGACCAGCAAGACAACCTATTAGAGAATACAGGAGGACACAGTATAAAAGAAAAGTCTCCACCATTCACAGGCTTGTTGAAAACAGAGGACATAGAATGCTCCCCAACCCCAATGAGCACTGTGCAAAGTGGATCACAAAATGGAAAACTTGAGAAGTAGGAGTCAGAGCTAATTAATTTTTTTTCCAAATGAAAGGGTCCTGAACAAAATCAACCTTTTGGGACCTCATTATTTCACAACAATTAATCACAAAAGTAGAACACTATGCAACATGTTGCCACTACAACAATGACCATGTTACATGGATTTTTCTTGGGAAGATCTGAACAAATCTTTACTCATGGCAGATGGGGCGCCAAAACAGACAGAGATGTTGATTCTATGTTGTGATATTTTGTTTAGGATCTAACAAATAAAACCTGCCTCAAGATCAGAGTGCAAAGCTAGCCACAATAGTTAGCCATAGAGTCTAGGCAGTAATGGCACAAATCTTTAATCTAAGCACTCAAGAAACAAAGGTAGAAGATACCTGTGAGGTTGAGGTCACCCTGATCTACATGAAATTGAATCTGTCTAAAAGAGAAACAGAGTTCACACAAACCTGATCCAGTACTTGGGATCACATGCCTTTAATCCTATCACTCAGGAGGTAGGAACAGGAGTGATATGGCTGGGCATAGAGAGTAATGTAAGGCAGAAGAAGATAAGAGAGGGATAAAGTCTGAGGAGCAGTGAAGTCAGAGTAACAGTGTGGTCTAAGCAGTCTGAGGATGCAGTCTGAGGACAGGATTGCCCCTGCGGTCTCAGCATTGGTAGAGACCTACTAGAACTTGTGCTACAATTCTAGAAGCTTAGTTAATCCAAAAACAGAAAAATCACCAAAATATCTCACCCTAACATGGTTAATGACTCACCCATGGGTGCACAGATGGAGTCCACACTCCAGTTAACCATTCTGCCTCTATATATTCTCATATAAATCTCACACATACCAAGACCATGTGCAAGCTTGGGAGAAGATGTAGGATGAAATGTCTGGGTCTCAGGTAAGCATATAATGGTTCTCTCTACCCCTTCTGCTATGAAGTACAGTCAACAGGAACAGTATTGTGGGTTTATTATGAGTTCTCTAAATTAAGATGATAATGGCTATTAAGGTGGGAGGGCAGAGTTCTACAACAGATAAGGACATTTAAATATCTCTGTGTAAAGCTTCTATAAAGGTATACACATGAAATTTTATTACAAATTCAAAAACAAATCTAATCTCACAGAAGGAACCATCCATTCAAGATTGAAATTATATAAACAGCCCTTTGTACACTAAGTAAGCAATAGCTTTTAATGAAACTAGTCAATATTCTTGCCACCCATGACTACTTTTGAGAAAAGTTATTGGTTAGTTTTGTGTAAAAATCCATACAAACACTCAGGGAGTGAAAAAAAAAAAAAGAGAGAACATCTAAGGGTTTTTCATTCTACCATCATAAGTCACAGAACACAGACTACAAGTATAATTAATCCAAATACAACCATTCATAAATAAATTAATTTAGCAAGCATAGAAAAGCAGAGAGCAGTCCAAAATGACCAACACTGTATGTAACCCAGAAAAAAGAATTTTCAAAACAAATTGCTGGTGCATGAAGATATTATCACTTGAGGCTGGAAGACTGGCTTTAGTGCCCCTGTAATGATGAACCCACTGTCTCAGAGGACAGATAGGGGCTAGTCTCTGCTGTCAAACTGTCACAGAATTATTAAATATGGAGGGGAAAATGACCCAAACAGTATGTAATGAGCTCCCTTTTCATTCTCTCACTACAAAAGCACATCTGTGGATTGTTAATGACTCTGAAATGGAGGATCCAAATTGATGAGAACGAAAACTCTCTCTCAGGGATAGGGAAAAGGGAAATGAACACACACAATGTTTATAAAGAATAAGTTAAAATATAAGGGCTTGTGAAAATACTATTAAACACTATAAAGTGGAATACAAGTATGAGATATTATTACTCAATTTCACATTCCTTTTCTTTATGATTTCAATATCAGTCATTAACCTTTTAAAGTACAGAGAAATACCAAGATATTTTTACTGACAGTGCATGTCTTTGAATTTTTTTTTTTAATGAGGTAGCTACCATGCTGGACTGCTATTTTCTAACCCATTGGATGATTCTTTATTGGATTTGCTGTCTTCATTAATGAAACCCCATAACCAAAAGTAACTTGGGAAGAAAAGGGTTTTGCTCAGAGTTCCATATCACAGTTCATAATCAAAGGAAGTCAGGGCAGGAACCTGGCAACAGGAAATGATACAGAGGTCATGGAAGATACTGCTTACAAGCTTGTTCCTTATAGCTTGTTCAGCCTGCTTTTTTATAACATTCAGGACCACCAGGCCAGGGATGTCCTCATTCACAATGGTCTGGGTCTCCCCACATCAAGTACTAATTAAGAAAATACACTGCAGACTTATCTACATCCTCATATCTGATATTATGGAGACAATTTCTCTGTTGAGGTTCCCTTCTCTAAGATTATTCTAGTCTGTGTTGACACAAAAACTAGCCAGGATACTAGAATGGGGATTCCATGCTGAGTTCTGGAGACTGATTCTCCATGTCTGGAGTCTTGGGTCACATGACGACCCCCTTGCTTCAGTTATGCTTCTGCAAAGTCACACACCACACTAAGGCTCAAACATGGGTTTCAATCATGGCAGCTTCTAAAACATTCAGAGTCTCGCTGATCCCAGTGTCTTGGTCCCTAACACTAGATAAATTCTCAATGATTCTGAAGTCAAATGAATGACATGCAAAGGAAATGGGATAGCTCATACACAAGCATGACAAATAGCAAGTAAATTTAGAAAGCATCCCACATACTCAGATAATAGACATAAACATCATTTTTATTGTATCATGTGTACTGATTCCAAGTTTATCTGGAATAAACTGAGTTCTGAAAGCTCAGATTTGAAGAATTTTGATGTCTGCTTTCATACAAAGAAAGTAGTAAATTCAACAGACCCCACTTATTACTTGGTTTAAGGACAAATACCAGCCTGAAAGTAATTGATCTGCTCATTCTTGGGGTGGTACCGGTCAGCTGCAAGTCACAGGTGGCATCATGGCACACAGATTAAAGAGCTGTGTTTGTCAACATGAGCTATATAATCCCAGAAGGAAAATCACCTTTAATAGTCAGATCATGAGTCCTATGAGTCAAAGTGAGAACCCACAATACCAATGTACACTTGGGGGTTACACACACACACACACACACACACACACACACGTTACCATTTACAGATAGTCTTGGGTAGCTTATTTTCACATACCCTGTCCATACAGAGTCTAATGGTATCCCATAAATTATGCTGTACCTTTTTAGTCATGCTTTCTTCACTACTAAAAAACAAACAAAAGTAGCTTTGCCTTTCCATAAAATGTGTACATAGATCAAGGCAGTATCCTAAGAAGAAAGTACATAGATTAAACTGGCATCTCAATTTCCAGGCCAATGCACACCTTAATAGTGTAGCACAAACCCACCCTCCATCTCTAAGCCCTGAAAATTATATAAATTTAAAAGGTGTGCTTTTAATCACTTCTCTCATTTTTTATTCTATGCCACCCACTACAGTCAGCTAAACATTGAAGCAACAAGGTCACTCAATTGCAATGCATTTTTCTATTCAAATATAATAGAAAATTTGACCATTCCACATTCAAAGAGCAAATACATTCTCGGACTGACAGCCACATTCCACTGGCTTGTCCTGAGAACCGAGTGTGACAGATGCCTGGGCTGTAATTGCCAATCAGCCTTTACATGGCAGCTGAAAACACAATACATCACTTTGATCTCCTTTGCTCTAAACACATCCACAATCAAGAAAGCCGAACAAGGAATGAGAAATTGGCATCACTTCCAGAAACTGTCACTGGTGATGCCTAAACACTGGAACGTATATTTTGCTCATACTTTTATTTCTGTGTTTCAGAGACACTGTTAAAGAAGCGACCAACCGAAAATTTCTCTAGTTAATCATGTAAATAAACACGCACCTACACACCAAAACAGAATACAAGCATATTTAATTAAATCCCACCTCAACTGTATCTTTTTCTAGATATTCTTTGGAGGGAAAAAAGCAAGGCTTGCATTCTCAGTTGACTCTGAAATGAAGTTCAAACATGCCATACTCACACTTTGCTGGGAGGTCATAGCCGCATGTGATTTTTGCATGTCCAGTCTCACAGCCATTCAGGTTCCGACACTCAGCTAACAAACAGGGGCCAGCTGCTCTGTGAATACAGCCATCCACTATGGGAGAAAGATAACAACATTAGCTTATGCTTACCTTCTGGAAGTAAATGTATAAATGGACAGGAGAAAAGGAACTCAATTTCTTCCTCCCCAAGCCATAACTCCATAGAGGAAACTCACGGTGAATACAACTCTCTCTCTCTCTCTCTCTCTCTCTCTCTCTCTCTCTCTCTCTCTCTCTCTCTCTCTCATGTAAAAGAGAGATCCAAGTGGTGTTCTGCTTAAGGTTCTCTTAGGATGGGGGAGCCCCTGAAGGTTGAATAATTTCACGGGTGTAGGCACTGTCCACCAACATGTGATTTCAATGAAGACAGTGTTAGGAAGAAATGCTAGCTGTCTCTTCAGAGCTGTTAAGTATGTTTTCCAGCACATCACCAGTATCAAATGATGTTATAAAGAAAAAAATTAGACACCTGTTTGCTCTTCTCAAAAGTGAGATGATAAAAGCAAGGCTACTCAAATTAAGAACCAAACCTCTCGACAACTCTGTTCCTCACAAGTACAATTTGAGCATGATAGGTTCCTGCAAACTAAGAGCAGGATGACACAAGAGCAGATGGGTCCTTAGGAGCACCTGGAAGACCATGCACCTGGCTTGCTTGCCAGAAAGTAAAGCCAAACAGTGGCATCTGTTCTTACTCTTCTAAAGAGGCAGCTTTCTGCCTCGGGCAGCCTTAGCTGTTGCTCCTCCTTTGGTCCCTTTGCATATAGCCACCCTAGCAAGAAGCACCAAGCTGATTTCATTAAAAACCAACAGCCATATGACTGAATCAGAAGTTAATGCTGAGGTAGAGGGCAAAAGGCTCATAGACACTTAACTTAGAAACTTGAAAATGTAGAGGTTTAGGCATTTTTTAATAAGTCCTGCTCTATGGGTAGAAAGAAAAATCATGTTGTCAAACTGAGGCAAGGTTGAAATCAGGGTAATCCAGAATGAGAAAGAAATCCCAGTATCTTTGAGAGACCTGAACACCCCCACCAGTCTATACCATAAAGCAACTGATGGTGACTCTTCTTTTTGTTTTATTTCAAGATGAAGCTAGACACTGGGCAGACTTTAATGCTGAGGGTACCACCTGTCTAACATCCAAGCTGGCTTCTATTGCCACTGACTGTCACTGGGGCATCATTCTCAGCTGTTTGAGTGTCTAAAGGAATAAGCTTATCCAGGCTTCCCTGACTTGCCACTTACATATCTTTGGTGTTTGATAACAAACCTAGCCCTAAAGGACCCTCATATCTACATGAATGTATTCCAGACTACCCTCAACTGTCACACTTCACAGACCCCTGGTGAAATCCACACTGTGCTCTTTGCCAGCCACATGCTACACTAAGCTCTACTTTATAATAAATCAGTATTAGAGGTGCAACCTCACATACCTGTGTAGGAATTTAAGGACTTGGGTGCACAGAAGGCATTCCGTAGGATGCTTAATACAGTGTTAGGTGGTAGATTGATGGTGCTTAGTTTAAATATTTTAACACAGGGTCACATAGGATTAAAAAAAAATAAAATTAAACAGCTCTTTATCAGCAAATCAGCAAATGAGAAAGAAAAAATTTTAAAGCCAGCATTCACCACACTGTAGAGAAAACCCCTCTCCAATGCCCTATGCACTGTGCACATACAAAATACAGTTACAAAAAAAGATTGGAAATATTCGTTCAAGATTGTTTAACTAGCCATTTCACATTTTAAAATTTATCATTTAAAATTACCAACTCAAGTACAGATGACATTTGCATTAATTCAAGCTTTCTACAGGAATAATAACCTGAAATTATGCTGTGTTCATACATGGCAGCTTGTTCAATAAATAAAGTTCCATCCTGCCATATACTATTCTGTAGCTATTAAAAAGAGTAGATCATCTTTTAGGCTGACAGTCTTATGATAAGATTTGCTACATAAAAACGCCTGGTTTAGTCGAAGGTCATAGACACAAACTCTTAGTATGATTTCTAATTCTGTGATGAATATCATGACCAAAAGCGATTTGAAGAGGAAAGGATTGATTTCATCTTACACTTCCAGGCTGCCCAACACTGAGGATCAAGCAGAGGCCATAGAGGAATGTTATTTACTGGCTTGCTCAGCTTGCTTTCTTATGCAAATCAGGATTACCTGCCTAGGAATGGTTCCACCTATGAACTAGGCACTCCCATATTAATCAAGAAAATGCCCAACAGGCTTGTCTAAATGTCAGTCTTCTGGAAACATTTTCCCAGTTGCGAATTCCCTCCTCTCAGACAACTCTGTTTCAAGTTGCCCAAAATTAGCCAGCTCACAGTGTAGTCACATTTATAGGTCTGGTTACATACACATTCTTATACATATGTACATAAACATATGTATATGTTGGAAAGATGCACACCTCTAATGACAAGAACAAAAGATAAGGACCAGAGAAAGAAGACTATTTTGGGGAAAAAAATATATGTGTGTGTGTGTGTGTGTGTGTGTGTGTGTGTGTGTGTTTGCATGTGTGTGTCCTAATTTTTCTGTGCTTGATTTTTTTCCCCCAATCTCTTCAAGGAAATAATATTAAAGTGAACAATTTTGTTTTTTGTTTTTTTGGTTTTTTTCTTGACAAAGAGATAGTTTCTTAGTTTGAAATAAATAACTAAAATAGGATTTGTGATTGTACTTAATCATATGCTGTCAAATGTCTGAATTATTTAGATTGCAGACTAATGTAGTTTGTAGATATCTAATCTTAAAAATCTTCATGGTAATACACATATTCCTGATTGGGTTAGGGTAATGTCAGTGTAGCTAAAGAGCTATTTAATAATAATGACTATGGCTTAAATGCACTGAACGCATCTGCGTCCCAGACATTACACCAAGGACAACCTTCAAAGGCAGATACTAACTATCAGCTCCCTTTTATGAGAGCTTAGTCAAGGTTAGCATCTTGCTTATATCCACAAGGAACTTGCAACATGTCTCAAAGCCCCAGATTTTCTGAGACGGCGATTATACTCTGTACTATCTATACCTATAATTGTCTCAAACCCTGGCAATATAACCTTATTCCCTACTTGTGAATATGATACTGCATTAATACATTTTAGTTCCATACTTCTATTTATGATTTATTATGCACATAAAATCAAATATAGAAATATAAAGTGTATCGCTTTGATGTATTTTAACAAATGTGCATGGACATTACTGTGACACCAATAAAGATGAAACATTTCCATCAGCCCAAAAATTTCTTGTGTCCTTTCTATATGAATTCTCCTCTTACCAATGTTGGAGATCATTAGTTCTTCAGTGACATGGCTAAGTTTTAGTTGTTGTATATTTCAAACTTCAGGTAGAGGAATTTGTGTCTTCCATTAAACAGAATTTTAAAATCACATGTATTATGATTTTGTTACATTTTAATCTTCAGAAATAGTCTGCTTTTAAAGATGTTATAATTTCTTCATTAATATCTGAATGGACAGGAATTATTTATTGTGTTTTTTTAGTGATTGTAGATAGATAAATATATAATGCATACAAATTATTTTGTTGCTGTTATATTTTCATTTCCTTGGGGAAAATTCCTATGAATAAAGTTTCTGGGTAGGTTCTGCATACTTTATGAAGAACATATCCTTTCTCAAATCAATTTTGTCATTTTCTGCCCCCCAGCATTGTACGAGAGCTTCAGTTAGGCATACCTTTGCTACTGTTCATCTTCTTGACTTTAGCATTCAAATTGCTGTAAGGGATAGTCAATTTATACCTTACTGATGACCAGTAAAGTTAAGTATCTTGTCAAGTACTTAGAGATCGAGTGCCTGTTCAGGTCCTTTATTGATTTTTATTGTCTTTTAAACATTGAGATGTGTTAAATCTGGTAATTCCCAACTGATCACTTTCTTCACTCTAGATTATTATTATTATTATTACCATTGTCATTATTTTGTTTCATGAGATTCCCTTTTATCATTTTTCTTACTTTTTTCATATCACTTATGAAACTTTAAATCTTATTATTCCCTATATCTCAATATCTTATATTTATAATATCTAAATTCCTTAACAGGTTTTATATAGTGCTTTTGTATACATTTCTGTACATTCTAATATCACTTCATCAATGGGTCTGTTGCCATTGCCTGACTCTGGGCCACACTGTTTTTTACATATCAACTAAATGCTGATAGCATATTGAAAACCAAATAATATGTGGAAGAAAGTTTAGATTATCATTTTGATGGTGAAATGAAATTACCAACTTAATGAGAGGGAGACAGCCCTCTGGACATGGTGTTAGGCGGTTATTTTGATTCAGTTAGAGGTGGAAAGAGCTGCACACTATGGGTAGCATCATGCCATGGGATGGTCCCCTGAACTAAACAAAAAAGAGAAAGTGAAGTGAATATGAGCAATTATTGTGTCTAAGATGTCATTCGGTAAATATGTTTCTTGTATTGGTTAATGAATAAAGCACTATTGGCAAATAGGAAAACAAGATAGTTGGGACTAGGAGACAAGGAGGTTTTGGAAAGAGGTAGGAGGAGATTCAAGATGTAGGACCGAAAGAGAAGAATGTCGGACCCTCTCTCTGATAAGATAAGACCACGTAGAAATACTTATATTAATAGAAATGGGTTAATATTTAAGACACAGCTAGCAAATAAGAAAGACTAGTAACTGGCCAACAGCATTATATCTAATACAGAGTCTCTGTGTGTTATTTGGGGCTGGTGTGGCTGTGGGAACAAGCTGGAAGGAAACTTACTCATAACACAGTACCATGCCATAGGATAGTATCCTGAACTAAATAAAAAAGAGAAAGTGAGGTGAATAAGAGCATTTATTGTGCCTGACTTTCTGGATGTCATGTGACCATTTACTTCAAGCTCCTGTTGTCTTGGCTTCCCACACTGATGGACTGTACCCTTGAACTATTATCCCAAATAAACCTTTCTTCCATTCTATTTCTTTTGTTGTAGTACGTTTACCACAGCATCAGGGAAATAAACTAAGA